CACTGGAATAAAAATGCTTTTTCCCATTCCAGTGCAGCAAAAATTCCCTTCACATGCGCAGGTCAGAGGTGGCATGTATATCTAACTTAACACGGGAGGAATCAGATTGTAATAGGGGGAATAAGCTAAGGAAATGGGATATGAATGCTCTCCCCTGTGGAATAATTTTCATTGCAAAATTAAGTGAACCCAACAGGGATTGCAACTCTCTCCTATTACAAGAACCCCCTGCTAGGTAATGGTCAATGGCTGAAAGGATGCGTTCAATCTTCTCCCCGGGGAGGCTAGCCTGCATATGCACAGAGTCCAGCACCACCCCCAAGAAGTTGATGATCGTATCCGGACCTTCCGTATTTGTAGGTGAAATAGGTAGCCCTAATTGTGGGAACAGTCGTGTTATAGAACGGAGGCTACTGGGAGGTAACAGGTTACTTTCTAAGGTCAGAAAATCATCCAGATAATGGATAATGGTGGGGCATTTACAGATGTTAAGCAGCATCCAGCACAACGTCTCAGCAAATATATCAAAAATCCTGGGGCTGCTCTTGGAACCAAACGTGAGACGCGTGAAAAAATAATATGAACCATGCCACTTAACACAATGTAAATGCCACAGGGACAGATGGATAGGGAGTAACTTAAAAGCGTTCACTATATCAGTTTTGCTAAGCCAAACGGTTTTTCTCTCCAATATGCTACCATAGATAATGCCGTCACTGCCATCCTCGCGACAGGGGTGGGTGACCCCTGCTGCGAGGATGGCAGTGACAGCATTATCTATGATAGCATATCGGAGAGAAAATTATTCTGATGGAATGAGTGAGTTGAGACTTGGGGTAGGTGATGCATGGGGAGCAGAGAGTTCGAGAATTAACCTTTGCTTATTGGATGACTTACTCGTGACCAGTCTTATGGGGTTAGTTCTCCAAACCGCTAAAGGCGGGGAGTCGAAAGGGCCAATTAAGAATCCTTGGTCAATTTCTTTATGGAGAAGTAGGTCAATTGTGTCGGGAGCTGCCTGGGCTGTCTGTAAGTTTTTACATTCTAAGATTCCAGTAGGCATGTGAATAATACCCGTGTGAAACCCCAAAGTAAACCCTGCCACCAAAAATTCTACGAGATGTTGAGATGGGTGACCACATAATAACTCTTTCAGCAGGGAGACATTCAGAGATGAAAGGTACTGCTTAGGATATAATTTATTTGGACACATCACTTTGGAGTGAGCCCGGAAACATTGGGAGCAGACATGAAGTAGTCTGCAGGCACTTTATCCACAAGTGCTAGTGTTAAAGTTGTTACAAACTTGTGATTTTCCCAAAAACACTATATCGCGTCCCAGTTTATCTTTCAGCACCCTGCCTGTTCTTCCAGTGGGCATCATATTAGTAGGGGGGAATAAGGCATTCACCTCCGGAGAGTTAGAGCACAGATTAGTCGCGTGGGAGTTGGATGAACAAATGGCACAAGCTGGGGTTTTGAGGCCCGCAATGTGTCGACAAAAAAGCTCCGTATCAAGCACACCCCAATCTGCTTGATAATTAAACTGGGATAGAGCAGCCGACGACTTTGCGGAAAAAGCACAGTGGTAGTCGTAAAAAGACGTACCACCGTACTTGTGCCCCAAATCCACCAGCTTGTGGAGATATAGATCCAATTCTTCTCTCCTATCAGGATATACAGAGCATATCACGTCTCTGTAGATCCCGAAAGCCAACACAAATCGGGTATTGATAGCTTGTGATTCAACCTAGGGTCACTAGATTTTAACACAACCGACACATCCCCATATGCATACATTTTGTTTTCAAGGACATCTTGCGAGGCAATAAGAAGTGATACCAGATTGATATCCTTCCCTTCCAAGATGTCCTTCTTGATGTTTGCAGGCACCATATGTGCCGGGTTAATAATATGTGGGTCTTTCAGACCGGTCGGAATATTAGCCGGTAGGGGGTCTGGGCGAACCGTAGCGATCGGATTCCCCAGTGCTGAAGGTGACCGTTGCTGGCTATCTGCATCCATCTTATCCAGTCTGGCCATAATACGACCCAAAGAGGTCAGGACTGAAGAGAAAATAGTATGTAGACTGGCTGCTACTGGAACCCCCCCCCCCCCCAAATTATAAGTCTGAGTATTCAGCAGTCTATATAATTCGGCTTTCCTAGCCGTGGCTGGAAAAGGAATGTTCCTCTTTCTCAGTTCGGCAGTGATCCTCAGAATGGTCCACGCCCTGAGTGATGCAGGGCTCGCGTTGTCGTCACCGCGGGATGGAGTGACCGATCTAGCTGGTGTGCTGGGGATGGACAATTTTTCCCCGCCTTCAGGTATTTGTGACATGCTACAACAAAAATTAACATGTTACCTGGGGCACTACCCAACTGGCTGATGTAACTAATGCCAAGCAGCGAAAGTATTAATTAGTAACGTGACAGGTGAGGCCCTGCTAGTTGCCAAGCGGCTTTGAGAGGCACTATCTATGAAATGGCTCGTGTGGGGTATGTGGCTATTGGCATTATGGCGGGTGATGGCCTCTCGGTAACTTGTAACAGCATAAGACAGAATGGGGGTGACAAGTGAGGCCCTCCCTATGCAACCGAGCGAGGCGGCTACCTATGAATTGGCCCGAGGGAATGCTGTACCTCCAAAATGAGGATGGGTGTTGGCCTCGCGGGACCACTAACGTAAGGCATAGAAGGCCAGAAAACATACCTAGTGGCTCTTATTTTGTATGCCAGTATATATGTATTATGACCCGAAAAGGGTAGGGAGGATGGGAGAATTATCGAGAGGAAACATGACGTACCTGATGAACAAATTGCAAGGTAGTAGGATAAGGTGATACAGGTGATCTGTAGTAACCTACGAGAGTAATTGTGATTTTTTTTTTAGGGTTATATCGATAAGTACCCATCATTCCCCCTGCTAACAAGATACCTACCGGTAAATAGTCAAACAGTAGGAGACTGGAACCAAATACTCAAAAGGAGCAAGGAAGCCTATACCTAGTAATACAGAAAAATACACATAAGGACCCAGGTCTTGCGAGACCATCAGAGGATAATTTAATCGTGATTACTGACCTATTACAGGTGAAAGTTGGTAGAGTAGCAGCACACTGTGGATGCTGTTGATACTGAAACATAAGAGGTTCATAATTACTGAATTTGCTAAATATGCCCCACCTGAATATCTGTCCTGTACATAATGACAGAACATTTGATAATCCCAAATGGGTACCAATGATGTACATGCTTAGATATAGCTGAACTATAACAGAAATAAACACCGTGAGACATGGTATCACATTTCTTATAACCCCCTCCTGACACTGGATTTATTTAAGACAGGCCTATAAGTGCCATAACTATTGCTGCCAATACAATCTGGACCATTAGCACCAGTAGCGTAGTTATGACATATGTCTACATATATCCTGTGACCATGCCTAAACTTTAAATATAATTTATGCCCCAAGCCATAACCTTATGACCACCAGGGGTCAGTCAGACATCTTTAACTTTATACAGAAAATGTGCTGATAACCTGTAACCAGGAGAAGGAGAAGAATGAGAAAGAAAAAAAACAAAAAACTATATATTACTAGCTATAATGATCCAGCCACCAGATGTCGCTCTAGCACATATAACCATCTTAACATCTAATATATGACAGTGTTTCGGCAACTGAACGGCCATAAGATAGCCAGGATATGTGGACTGCCCCAACCGAATACACCCTGTTACCCATTGTCATAGTGAATATATAAGCCGTACCCGAATGCCAGCGTTCATCTAAATGTGTACCGAACATATGGTACAATGCATGCGCCCGTCGAACTCTGATGACGTAAATGGCCGTGCCGCAATTGCGACGGCCGTATCACTTACGATTTTTGCGACCGGGTGCCGCCACGAAAACCCTGCAAAACCCCTTGTCTGATTCTTAAGTCAGACAGCGAAAACCGGAGGGACAGGAATAGTTGGGGACCCGGGAAGCTGCCCACAAGATGCAGATAAGCAAAATGGAGGTAGGATCGACCGGAAGTGACGATCACGCTCCACAAATCACCAGACCTTAAGAAGGGGAACCAAGCCCCTCCCACAACTTCAGACCCTGCCTTCCATATATATATATATATACATATATATATATACACCTATTTAAACCCACTTAAACTCCAATACAAGATCTGTCCGGAAAAAGTCCAGCCATTGTAAATATAATGAGATCAGTTTGTGTGACATCAATGTAACCTGGCAGCCAAGGACAGTGGACTGAAATGCACATGCATGAACAATTATGACTTCACTGTACTCGCCAGTGGGTTGCTAGATGCCTTTGAGTGAGCATGTGTATTGTGTGGCCATCGCATTCAAAATGACTGAGCGAGTAGAGCAACGAATATGTATCAAATTTTGCATTAAGCTTGAACATTCCTCCACGGAAACTATTCAGATGACTTAGAAGGCATTTGAGAATGATGCAGTGAGTTGAGAAGAAATAAAAGTGGGGCACAAATGCTTTAAAAATGGTCAAGAACCTGTTGAAGGATTTGGCGCCTTGTTACTTCTGGCTTTTCCCAAAACTAAAATCACCTTTGAACAGGAAGAGATTTCAGACATTTGATGATATTCAGGTAAATACAAAGAGGTAGCTGATGGTGATTCCAAAAAAGGATTTTGCAGAGTGTTTTGAACAGTGGAATAGATGCTGGAAGAACTGTGTGAGATCCCAAGGTGCCTACTTTGAAGGGGAATGAGGCATCATTTCTTGCATTTTCCTCAATAAATGTATTTATTTTTCATATTACATGGCTTGATACTTTCCGGACAGTCCATAAATGTATACTCTGGTTGAGTATCTCCACTAAATCCCCTCATAGCTAGAAGAAGCGCTGGTTAGTGTTAAAGCTCTCCCCCCCCCAGTAACTAGATGACACATGGTTCTGTAAGTACAACTGTTTTTTTATTGTCACAGCACAGTCTTTTATACATGGACAGAAAAGGGGGATACCGGTGAAGCGCTTATGTGGAAAGAAAAAATAGATATGAAATCCCAATAAAGAAGGATTGAACATTTGGAATACAAAGAAGGGAGAGGGTCGCCTAAACGGACCCTAAGGCGCAAGAACCTGAGCTAAGTTTATTAGCTCAGAAAAGTGTGAGTTGACATTTGGCATTTATTTAAAATCTTTTCCTTTTATTATACAGTTTGCACTATGTTGTGTTTCTTTCTATTTTCTGTTTAAAGATATACACAGAATTGTTGATAACTCAAAAAGGGAACATTATCGTTTAAGGTATATCCTTCTTTATTGGGATTTTTTCATATCTATTTTTTCTTTCCACATAAGCGCTTCACCGGCATCCCCCTCTTTTTTCTTAACATTCTTGTTTAAAGATAACCACGGTGATACAGCAGCTATCTGAACTTGGTGTATATAGAGATTATAAAAAACGTATTACTCAAATAGCGCTAATACTCTCCTGTTTTTTTTATACATGGACCCCTAGCATGGTGTCCCTATTCCACACGAAGTAAGCGTTGGTGCCTCTGTGTCTGGTAGATAATTGAGTCAACTATCGCTTAAACTAATTATCTCCTGGATACAGAGGACACAACACAAAATACCCACAAAAAACATAAAAACAAGCAGGAACCCCAACATATTATATATCCCCGGATAGCTCTGATCCGAGTGCCAAGTTGGCAAAATAGTGTCCTGATCCATGGAGAATATTTACAGGGGGAAAATATCTGATGGCCACTAACAAGGTCCAATGCTGAAATTAGTTTCAGAGTAATGTCTCTTTTGGGGACGGTCAAATATCGGGAGCTCCTGCAGACAAACAGGGAGCTCTCAGGTAGTGATTGTTCCTTTCTGTCAATAGTACCTACACTCCAAATAGCGTTCTCTTGCGAAGTAGGGTAAAACTAGAGTAAATGTTGACATGGAAATGGGAGTAGGTTCAACCGAGTTTTACTACCGAGTTCTACATATGTTTTACTACCGAGTTCTGTTAGTGTCCTTGTGGCTCTCTAAGGTCAGTCAGAGTTGGAACATATATATACTGGTCTTTTGAAGATTAGTGGAAGTTACACTCCAGAGGAGCACCTGAAGAGCATCTAAAACATAGATAGCCTGACACTGTAACTCCCACTAATTTCGGGCAACTCTGGGATGTGTCTTACATTATAAAATCCTCACCTTAAACCCTATACTACCCTAACAGACCACATTGAACTCCACTAAACATAAACCCCTACAGTACATGAACATGATCACTAAACATTAAACCAGAACCGTCTACACAACACTAAACATTAACCCCTACACCAACTTAACACTTACAGTAACACTAAAATAATAGAAACCTATACAGGTATACATAATCATGAAATGTGTATTAGGGGAAATTAATGCAGACCTTTGGTCCTGTTGCCTATAATAATGCCTTCAGAACCTTTCTATAGCGTTGTTTTCCTATAATACAAGGTTCACTGTTATGCATCCTTTATACATTTCTATAATGATTGAACGATTTACTAGTATAGCCACAAACACACAAAGATAGTCTTCTAGAAATAGTACACGCAAACGTGTAATGTGGAAATTCTAACAAAAGCTATTGTGTCTACAAAGTGGTTGTTAATTATAGGAGTGTGGATACAGTCTTTACATTTCCAACAAAAGATGAAGATGCAAAAAAAAAACAATACTGCACAAAATGACTGCAATCATAAAATCAAAGGAGATATCAAAGGAAAAAAAAAAAGATAGGGTGAACTATTGTTCATTTAGCAAGTGTGCTATACACCTACATCCATGCAAGAAGGGACATGGATAAAGTATGCGTCAGTCAGGAAAAAGTGTTTTCTACGGGGCACTTGGGTTTATTGCCATCATCAGTGATAAGAGGTCATAAATGGTTTTGGCGTCGATTTTGGTATATATCTGTAATATCCGATGTCTGCGTTCTCACAGCAGGCTAAGTGTTAAGAGGGCACAAATATAAGTGCATGTTGTATGTAGCCCTTTTAATAGCAAGGACTATGTCACAGAATGCATTACACATCATTCTGGATCTGCTAGGGTTAATAAAAGGTAGGGGTGGAGAAAGGGGATTAAATAAAGGTAAAACACAGTTACATTTTAACATAGCCTCTTGAGGAATTTAGAATGATAAAAACATTCATGAGACAACTCATCCATATATGTATTACAACCCGGGCATATATTTATCAAATGCTGCTTATTACTTTGTATTGCTGGAGATTTTCCAGAAAACTCAGATTTCTAAATTTGCAGCTATTGTCCATACTGAAGAAATATTGCTACCTGCATTTAAATTGAACCAGTTCTACTGAGATTCTCCTCTCTTCATCTGTGATATATGTTCCATGAAATAAGATAATAAAAATTTCTGAGAATATATTACATTTTCTCCCCATCTCAGTCCATGACACAAATGTTTCTCCTCATTGCTTATCCCATTACATAAGTGTATTTATGCTGAAAAAAAGAGCTCAAATTCCTATGAATAACAGCTGTATGATAATTATTCTGTTATCTGCTGCAGTTGCTAAAGGCATCCTGTGTCTTAATAGTTTTTTTTTTTTTTTTCTACTTTACTTCTCATGATACAACTGTGGCATAAAATGATGTAAATACATCAAAGCTCCATTCTGGAAGACCCAAGAGAAATACAAAAGACAAAAAATAAACACAAATCAAATTATATCTTAATGCCTTATACTTTCCATGTCAGATGGGTAACAATCATGTTTTGCAAATAAATCTGCCAGACTGGGACTGAATGAATTAAAACAGCCACTATTTAATCAATCATAGTGTAAACTTTTCTGGAATAAATGAAAAAGGGGATGGGGTGGGAGGTGAAAAAGCAGCTATGGTTAAATCTGATTTCAGCAGAGGATCCTTAGTTCCCCATTGTGTGTGCCTTACAAAATGTCTAAGCTCTCAAACCAAGGACATCTGTGATTTTCAATGAGCTCTTGAAAGGTGTGATGAGGTGGTTAAGGCAAGTGCCTTGTAGCATAGGGAAAAAAAAAACATAAAAAAAAAACAAGTGAGGAGGATGTACTAGGCAGGAGGAGCAGGTGCTTGGGAGGGGCAACTGGCTATTCCCATTCTGTCTCTTTTCCCATCTCTTCTTGTCTTTTCATTCTTTCTTCCAGCAGAAGGAGCTACTTGTGTGAGCTGAATTGCAAGGCTAGCAGGACCAGAGAAGCAGGAGGGAGTGAGAGGCACGCTGCCTGTGTTTGTATACAGAGCACTCTCTGGGCTGACTGTGCTGTGCTTTGCTGCTGTCTCTCCCTGGATTCTGAGAGGCTGTGCAGCTGCAACCTGTGCTGCTGTCTCCTTGGATGCTGCGAGCTGGGCTGCTGTCTCGTTGTATTTCTAGCACCTCCAGGGAAGCTTCCACTGGGCTCACTCCCTGCACTCCAGCAGCCCTGTGCTGTCTCTTCTGGCCACTCCAGACTATCCCTTACTCTCTCATCCTACAGCTTGAATTTGGAGGGCAAGGGGAGGAATATAAACCACATCACCATCTCCATCCAAGGATAAGACTTTTAAGGGTTTGACAAAGGGAATCTCTTCTCGGTCCTATTTTGTTTTCCTTTTTATTTTTTTCCTTTTTATTTATCTATCTATCTATTTTTAATTTTTTTGCTGAACCATAAACAAACAAACAAAAAAAAACACCTGCAGATAAAACATGTTTCAGAAGGAGGTTGTCCACCTCCTGCTGTGTGTCTTCTTCTGGGTCCCGCTCATAGTTACAGGTAAGTGTTCTGTCTTTGATACTTTGTATTTTCATTGTATTGTTTCATGTTTGACAAGTTGATGAGCTGCAGACAGGGCGAGTTCTGAGAGAGTCACTGGGTGAAGGATACATTGTAGCACTGGGGCATCAGGCATCCTAGTGGGACCTCAAGTCATCGAGGGGGGTTGGCGTGATCTAGTGTCAACTAAGGCAAAAATCTAGGGAGTTATAGCATGATCTTGATCCTGGACTGGATTATAGATGATGCCATCTGTGAAACCCCTTTCTGTTTAGCAAGTGGCCGGCCTTAATTAGATGGCGGAGCTTAACTGTAATCTCTATCAAAGGTTTAGGAGGATTGCATTATCTGCCCTGCAGCACTGTCCTTCAACCCCCCCTCCTCCTCTCCTTTTTAATTCCGTGATGTAAGAGCCAGTCTGCTTTCCCATATAACATGAGCTATGTGTAAAAAGCCTCAGGAGTGGGGTTCAACCCCTAATAATGGGGCACCCCTGCTCTTTACTAAGAGAGGGTTTGACGGGAAGGTAGCTGACAAATTCAGCTGTTTCCCTTTAAAAGTTGCTTTGATTTCAAAGTGTCCTATTGAAGAACACAGAATCAGTAAATGTTGCATAGCCCTGGCAACCAATGGGTTAATGCTATGTAGCTACAGTTTCAGATCTTCTGTAGGGAAACAATATCAGTGCAGTTTATCTATCTATCTATCTATCTATCTATCTAGCTACCTAATCTATCTATGTGTCTATATTATCCATCCATCCAATCTGTCTTGTGTTAAGTGACAAGTTACTTGCCACATTGCTTCATGATCCAGCCACAGTTGATCTCTTCATTGGATAATGTCTTTATTTTAAAGCAAATGAGCCCATGCCTTGCAAATCCAATGTTAATGGGCACATTATCCTGTAATAGAGGGTATCTTGGCATGTAGTAGATCGCTAACTTGCCATTCTACAGGGCAAAAGGTCTAGTTTAATAAAGACAATTTTCTGAGTGTAGGAATGGGGTTTGAAGATAAAAGGAATCTATGAGATTAACAGACTGTGGAGTACATTTTCCCTGCCTGAAAGATAATGAAGCCTTTGGGGCTTTAAACTGTGTGAACAGCACTGATCTGATCTCCCAAATTAATATAAATATCACAATGGGAGTGACCACATCCATTAAATAAATCCAATCTCTCTTCATACAGACAAGGCTGCATATTTCTGCCTTGTCAGATAATGTTTCCACCAACAGCTTTTCACTCGAAACATCTGTATTTCTATTTCCATGAAAGAATGATAATAGGCTAAAAAGAATTATACAGTAGGCAACGTGTATATTGCGTAATGGATTAGCTGCACTGAGTATAGGAATCTAGTTTAGGAGAAATATATGGCAATTTCTCAACTTACTTCTCAGTAATCATTATGTTATGGATTAGCCAAAAGAGTCAAATGGCATGTGGGCTACTTTTAATAAACACTTGGATTA